CACACACACACACACACACACACACACACACACACACACACAAAAACAATAACAAAAACAGAAACCATGGACCTGATAGGCATGCAATACGTGCAGACTGAAGTGTACCCAGAGAGCAACATTATACATAAATTGATTAAGTCCTTCACATGCATTGTAAACTTTTGATACTGGAACGTACACGTACATGTAGGCAACAATTTTGTTGATTCGACGTTGAGCTAAGGCACCTGTTGAAAGCCAGGTTTTTTTTTTTGTTTTTTTTTAGTGCACCTTGATCAAGGATATGAAAATGATCAGTGCTTTGCCAAGCAATGTTGGAGCATGAAATATCATGCAATAACCAAGACAAATGTCTAGTAAATAACTGAATTTAATCACTGAGCTAAAATCCTGTAACATGCTTAACCTTTGATCTTAATTGGACTAAAATCAGGCATTAATGCAATGCAGTTACCTAATTAATTGAATTATTGCAATTAATTAATTATCAATTTATATTAACTCATATTATGTCACGTTAATAGTATTAGTAACATAAATTTTTATAATGATGCAATTTTGAAGATCAGTCGCAACTTATAACTAATTTGTAAACAAATGTATATCTTCTTATACTCAGTTTTTCCCCACTCAATTCCACTGAAAAGAAATCAAAGCTTGTGATGTGACATGCAGCACTTCAGAGTTCTGTACATGTGCATGTATTTTCATGTACATGTATTTTTTATGAGAGGCATGGTAGCTTCATGGTTATTGGGCTCTTCTCTGGATTGAGCAGTCCGTGTTCAAGCCCTGGCCGGGGACATTGTGTTGTGTTCTAGGGCAAGACACTTTATTCTCACAGTGCCTCTATCCACCTAGGTGTACAAATGGGTACCGGTGAACTTAATGCTGGGGTTAACCCTGCAGTGGACTAACATTCCATCCACGGGGTAATAGAAATACTCCTAGTCGGTTAATATTACAGAAACCGGGATAAGCTCCAGCGTAATGGACCACATGGCTCTTATGCAGATTTTGCCATACTGTCTTGTATTTTCACTGGTTGCTTGTTGTTCAACTTGAATATTTGGACGTATTTGTCAACTTGTTGGACGCGAGGTGGATCTCTTTTGTGCGATGCTGTCAGTATGAAACTTTCAGTTTGACTGCAATTCAAATAAATGTATTGAATGGGGAAAGAATCGAGTGTGCAGAGGCAAATGCCTGCTACCTCAAGCCAAGTAATTAATTAAATTTAGATGAAGTCTTCTCTTGAACCTGATGGCCCATCAGGCTGGCACTTACACGTATCTCCTGTTTCTATAGCATCAAACGCGAAGAGTTTTTCCTCCTCCCTCCTCGGGCTATTCTTCGTCGACGTTGATTTCTTCCTTCGATCGTGGCCGCTGTTGAAACCGTCTAACATTCGTCTGCCCATCGTTCGTACATCAAGCGAAAGACAACAAACTGCAATGACTATGAGCACTCCTTCAACGGGACGCATGCTTGTTTCGGTTTAGATCGCGATCGATATCATGTCTTTCGAAAGCACGTGGGTAAACAACGTGGTGTCTAGTATCTGGTTCCTGAAAATTATCTCCCACTAGTGCGACCCTCCGTTTTCTGTCTAAAAGTTTTCCTTTCCGGTTGCGGTTTCTAATTTTTGTGGTTTTTTAGCCGGCAAAGATGAAAACTTTTCCCAAGTGCGACCCATACCTTTAATTGATGTCGAAATACTATAGTGCCAATGTCTATGACATATAATAAGCCGTTGACTGAAAGGTTGCTGTCTCTTTACCATAAGGATTACAAGGATTTGTTGACTGTTGATGTGTTCAGCGTTTATCTTCTGTCGCAAGTTGACATTGTAATTCGTTATGTCGAGGTAGATTTTGCGTTTGGGCTTCCGGATTATGTTCGCTATATCGAAGAATTCGTTATATCGAGGTTCTATTCCATACAATTTACTGTAACTTTGGCCGGGACATTTAATATCGTTCGTTATATCGAGGACTTCGTTAAATAGAGGTTCGTTAAATCGAGGTTCCACTGTAGTAGCTGCTATATATATGTCTCTTTTTCTGTTGTTCTGTCTCTCTATCGAGACTGTCTGTCTGCTGCTCGGTTCGTTGATTGGTCAGCCAGTCAGTGGCTCGGTCAGTAGGTCGGTCATTCTGCTGTATGTGCATGTCTGTCTGCCATTGTGCAGCCAGACACATATATTGTGGTAGATTTTTTTATTAATCTCACTTAACCACCAGTTTGCAGAGCCCGCATCGACCTTGGCTTCCTTATCGATGGATCTCGCCGAACCGGCACCGCCACTTTTCAACGCATTATCGAATACGTGAAAGAAACAGTCAGACGATTTAACGTCCAGGGTTCTCAAACAAGAATAGGTCTGACTCTATTCGCTTCCAGGCAACGACCGATCTTCGGTTTCCGTCGATCTCACAGTCGCGCGCAGGTCTACCAAGAGTTGAAGAGATTGAGACTTCTACGGGGAGGAACGAGGAGGACAGCTAGAGCCCTGATGTTTGTCAAGAGGTTCCTCTTTCGAGGTAAACCCACGTGTGGTCGTAGGAGAGTCCTCGTCCTAGTTACTACCGGTGTATCGCGTGATGACGTCGTGCGTCCAGCGAGGATCTTGCACGCCGCGGGAGTCGAAGTTTACACGGTAGGAGTTGGTCGTGTTAGTGTGAGGTATCTGAGGAAGATAGCTACAGATCGGTTCCACGTGTTCTCTGCCAATGTCGGTAGCTTGTTGACTATAGTCAGGACACTCAAGGACAAGATGTGCCATTCTCCAGGTAAGTCCGCTCAGAGCTTACTTTCAAATTCTCTTTACCTCTTCCGGTAATATGTTTATTATTCCCCGGAGAATTTAGCGCGCCATCAACATGTTTGTAGCGCCAAATTGGAATGCAGGTTTGTCATCAATTATTGCCTCTCGAATTTTGATTTTGCCTCTCGTATTTTTATCCAACTTTGGACAGTGTCAAATTGTAACTTAGATAATTCTTAGAAAATGTTTTATCTCTGTAGCAGCTTGGTACGGGTCTTGTTTCCCTGCTAGAGATAATTACTCGAATTTCAAATACGATGGTATGGGAAAGGGCATTGTGGCTTACTGGGGTTCGCTGTTGCAGCCACGAGAAACAACGCTACTCTGATGAGAATTCTAATGCAATTTCAAAGAAAACAAGGCATTCATAATTCTGTTGTTTCGCGCACTTGAATTATCTACAATGTATCAGCGAATCAGGGCTAATGATGCTACCCGTTTTGACGGAATTGCGGATTCACACTAAACCCACTAATATTATAGTCCTCTGAAAGACTGAACCTAAAGTTGCTCGATCGACAGCAGTGAGCGTTTCATATAAGTTCAATATTTTATTTTTATTCTAGTGATCATATCCAGAGGAGCTGTGGCCACCTACCCCTTCACAAGTGCAGTAAGAGGCGGAGACATCAGTCAATATAAGAACCCTCCGGCGCGACTTGTAGGGGTATCGTACATCCAAGGACCCGACGGACACCCGCAGGGGGCTTATTACTTCCCAGGGAGGACCCGAATAAGTGGAAGGACGAGAGTAAGCTATGCCATCATTCCTAACAATGGCTGCCTTGACACACGTTACTCGTTGACGATGATATTCTGGGTGTTCCCCGAATCTCCGGGACCTTTAATCCATTTCAACCCGAAGGGATGGGGGGTTCATTTATGGATAACTCGTCTGAATCAGCTCTACTTCCGGTTGATGCCCAGGAGAAGGACCGGCCGCCGGGTGAAGCCGCTGATTGGCCGCGGGCTTAAACCGAGGACTTGGAACTACGTCGCGGCGACTTATAACCACCGGACAGGTTTGGCGACCTTGTGGTGTAATGGCTACCCAATAGCGCAGCGAAATGTTGGTAGGTTCCCAAGTGGACTGGCGACCAATTATCCCATCATTATTGGTCGGAGACCGGGTTCTCGTCGCGTGTTTCGTGGACGACTCGCGTGCCTGCAGCTGTTCAACGTGGCGCTAACGCGACCTCAGATTCTCGCTCTGCAGAAGAAATGCTTTCGTCCAAGTATGTATTGACCAATCAATAACAGATTTGAGTTGCCCTTGCCCTTGTCTGGTTTACATTTTTGCTGTTACTTCGTTTAATATTGATATTCCTGAACATTTTTTTTCTTTTTAGTTCCAACTCCCGCGCCAACTCCAAAACCAGGTACCTTACTTATACTGTTCAATATTTTATTTTTTTAGTTAATAATTCCGGCCTTTTTCGGATGGTAGGGAGTTTGTAGCGTGATTGTAGAAGTCTTGACAAAGTCTTTCAGTAGAAATTTCAGGTCATATCTTAACCTGTCTTCCAGTCTCATGTGAATCGATAATAAAAAGACAACATAACGCGCGAAGATATTTTACGTGGAGACTCCGTGAAGCGCTTACCACATCGTCGGAAACGCACGTGTGGTTGTCCTAACTCTTTATATTTGTTACCGTTAGTTTGCAGATCTCGTGTGGATCTTGTTATCCTTATTGATGGCTCTAGAAGTGTTGGACGAGGTAACTTCCGAAAAGTCATCGACTTCGTGAAGTCTTTTGTTAGTTTCTTCCCGCTCTCTGCACGAGAAACACGTGTAGGTGTGATGGTGTTCTCTTCTCGGTCTCGACTCGAATTTGGTTTGAACAGATATGGCTCACGAACTCAAGTTGTGAGAGCGATTAACCGCATCAGGTTTGTACAACAGAACAGTTAAGGTTCATAGAGTGCTAGTACAGTCCATGAACTCTCCCTTCGCCTCTCTATATAAGGTGAAACCAGACGCCTAGGTTCAGCCCATAGAGGGGTTTTCATTTGAGTGTGGAAAAGTAATTGGGTTTGTACTTACTATGTCACACGATTGGCTTAAAAACTCGCAGCAAATTTTCATCCATTCAGGAGTAAAACTGAAACCAATCGTGACTCGTTCGCACACGTTTTCCCGCGCTTCTTGTCATCTACATATACATGTAATTACTTCGAAACTTGATTGATACCGTCTGTGTCCTTGTGATTGGCTAGACGGATTACTTTGGTTTTTTGTTTTGGGACACTTAATTGAAAACCGCTATAGTGTCATGTGTGGGGAAGGGAGAGGTCAGGGACAAGACTAACAGACTGCTTGAACTATTTTTACTCTGTTCTCGTGCATTTTGTAGTTTCCCTTGTGCGAAGAAAACCTTCAACTATTTGCTTAAAACGACACTACTGTCAAAATGATCGAGCACTTGGTACAGTATTCTTTGCGACAAATTGAAGCAAGTTATCTAGTTATTATTTTGACAATGAGTTGATGTAAATGTCAAGATGCTGTATCGCATATTCAAGGAAAAGAAGTCTGTAGACAAAATCGTATATTTGAAAAGAATAGCTGTGTATGTCAAGCGCCTCCTTTCACAGCTGTGGTAACATAAGATATTTATAAACCGACTAATGTAAAAATTTCCAGATACAGACCACTTCGACGAGGCACTTACATTGGAAGAGCGTTAAGAAATGCTAGAAGGAGTCTGTTCCGTCGCCGGGTATTGCGTGGACGAAAACGCACCTTGCTCATCATAACGGACGGCAAGTCATCCGATGGTGTTTCAGGAGCGGCATCAAGCCTGAAAAAAGACGGTGTTGAGCTGTTTGCTTTGGGTATCGGCTCTCGTTACAGCAGGAGTCAGCTGATCAGGATTGCATCAAGCCCTCTCAATGTATTCACCGCTGGTTTTAGTCGGCTTGGTACAGTTGTTCGCGCTGTTAAAGAGAAAGTATGCCGACCTACACCTACACGTAAGTTTTTCTGAGCGTTCTGAATGTTTGGTCGCGAGGTACAGTACATGCACTGAATGACATTAGCGTTGGTCTATGTTAAAGTTTGCCATTACGATTAACGTCATGATGGTCTCTAGTCAAGCATTATAAAAACGTGTGTTACTACCATGTATGTGTTACTAATGATATTCTTGAATTGGACAGTTCAATAATCACTCTTGTTAGGCCTAAAATGACTTTAATTTCGTTACATTAGAAAACAGAAAAAGCTACATAAAAGACGTATGAAGAGATATCTGACAGCTGCGTCTCATTTTGCTCTCCTTCTATCGATTTGAGACCAAGGGAGAAACGATTATTCGTTGACCTCGCAAATAAGTGAGCCGATCCAGGTTTGAAGGGTACCTTTCCCAATACCTTGCCACTTTTACTTCGAGCTTCAACATACTTAGAGGATTTGGTTATTTAGACCCAGCTCAATCGCTTATAACTGACACGAGTTGATTTTCTTTTACAGCTACTGTTCCAACACCAACAAGTAAGTTCATTTTGGTGAATTGCAGCAGTATTCTTAAAAAAAACAAATTTCGAGGGCTCGAGAAATTGGGGTTCAACTGTTTATGCCCTTATGCTTCCTATCGATAGTCTGGTTTCTAGTTAGGTAATCCTGGAGAGGGTTGGGGAGAGGGTACTTCTCACATTTCGACTCTACAAGTTTGATGTGTCTGGACTTCGATGTCTAACTGGATTGGTGTACTCAGTTGCACAATTTCAGTGTCACATTGATGTCTAGTGATCAGCTGATGTAGATAAAAAGGAAACAATGTTGTTGAAATGGTTTGCTATGGTTTTAGGTTATTTCCAAACATCCACATTTGAATTTGCCTGAATTTTGGGTTTTTTCATCGTGACACAAAGCTGTATGTTAATGGCTTAATCTATTTTACGCAGGACCACCACGTGCTGTTGCATTGTACCCACTCAACAGCAGGACACAGGGACGTGACATTGGTCCAAGAAAGAACAAACCCGGTCGTCCTAGCCAGGTGAGTCTGGCTCCTGGACCTGACCGATTTCCCCGAGGTTCCTTCTACTTCACTGGTCGACGCGGTAGTTACGTCTATTTCCCCAACAACGGCGGCATCGACACCAGGAACTCCATCACCCTGCTGGCCTGGGTCTACCCTCTAGGAGGCGGGCCTATATTCCACTATAAGCCGCAAGGCTCCGGCGTAGGCCTGTGGGTTATCAGACGGAACATCTTGTACGTGAAGTTTGTCCGGCGCTCCGGCCGTGGCTCCTTCGTTCTAAGAGCTCGAGGTATTCGTCCAAGGCGGTGGAACTACGTCGCTGCAAGCTACGACTGTAAAACTGGGTTGGCTACCCTCTGGCGTGAGTCTACCCCCATTGCACAGAGGAACATCGGAAGAGGGCTGAGGCTTGCCACCAACTATCCTGCTATCATGGGAAGCAGACCTGGTTCGACGACCCGTTTCCGTGGCCGAGTCGCTTGTATGCAGGTGTTTGATGTGGCTCTCAATGGACCGCAGATGCAGAAACGCAGGAATGTCTGTTTCAGACGTAAGCACTAATGACTAGTAATTACATAGACAGGTGTTATAATGTAAAGAAACTCAAGCTTCTTAAATGTTCTCCAATGTGTTAAGTGTATCATAGCTCTATAGTAACCAAGATCGGAAATGAGGAAGGAAAGACCTTTATTTGCGACGATGAAATTGATTTGGTCATCACAGTGATTTTTCTTTTTATGCGTGTTGCAGATAACAGACTACTGCGCCGTTTTCATTGCCTTTGTCTACGTCAGATCTTCACTTATCGTTTCGAAATTTTAACAGGGAATTGGCTTTTTAAGACCGAATGAAAAAAGATCTGGCTATAGTTGTGTAATTTGCCCACGTCATTTTATTGAACACGGCCTTGTTTCCACTCAGTGGTGGATGCGCACAGGAGCTATCGATGTAGATCGCGCGGATTCACTGGCTATATAATAATCATTTTTGGTTGAAATTGACTGTGAGGTTGAGAGTATTTAAGTCGAGGTTTGAGTTATCTTTCTGAAGTAATAATTCCGTCTCGTCTTAAAAGAGCTCAGTCAGTAATTTTGGCCGCGTACAAAATTACCTTTAATTGAAGGAAACCTGAAAATAGTAGTTTACTAAGAAAAACACCAAAGAGATTACAGTACATCATAAAGAAACAAGGATGGTTAAAGTGCATATGACATGAAAAATAATTTCTGCTTATTTGAAAGGCCTTTCAAAATTCAGAAGAACCGCGTTTTAGAAGTAGATTAGCACGGATTTCGAATGCGAGCTTGAAAGATTTAGGCTTAACTTTTCAAGATACGCTAACCGTGATGTAGCTCCTTTAACTATCATTGTATCGATTTCTCTTCTAGGTGGTCCTCCACCAACACCTCATCCACCTGGTAAGTATAATTATTATCGTCTTTATACGATTGTTTGTGGAAAGTGTTACTCTTGCATCAGGCCATGGTACTCTTTCTGATCTGCTCGCGTGATTTATCGTCTTATAGAGTTACCACCTCTTGTGGCCATATACGCCCTCGATGACGAAACCAAAACCAAAGATCTCACAGGGAATAACCCACCGGGCACACCATCAAATGTCAGTCCGGCACCAGGCCCCGACGGACGTCCTCGTGGATCAACTCTCTTCATCGGATCGTCAAACAGTTACATCGAGTTCCCAAACAATGGCCGACTAGACACCAGGCGATCCATGACCATCTTGGCCTGGATCTATCACAACGGGAGATCTGGACCTATCTTCAACTACGACCGGCGCGGCTTTGGAGTTCATCTATGGATGGTTGGGCCCAGGGTGCTCTTTGTACGCTTTGTGAGACGCTCTCGCGGAAGAACCTCCTCAGTGGCGACCTACTCCAAGAAGCCGCGTTATCGCGCGTGGAATTACATCGGAGCCACTTATGATTACAATACAGGCGTCGCGACGTTATGGCTCGACTCCAAGCCTGTAGCGAGGCAAAGTATTGGAAGATTTGACTTGGCTACCAATTATCCAGTTAGGATGGGTGCAAGAATAGGCGATCGGAGGGCTTTCCGTGGGAAAATCTCCTGCCTTCAGGTTTATAGTATTGCTTTGAAGCAGAAACAGATTCGAGCAGCAAGGAAGCGGTGTTTCAAAAAACGTAAGTCAAAGGTTTGTGGTGTACAGGCTTGAGATGTTTTTGAAGACGGACAGTTTTTAATAGGTCTACAATTGTAATGGTTGCAAAGTTGTTTATGTTTATTTGAATTAATAACTTATTTTCTTTCTGTTGTGCTTCTTCTTTCCAGTGCCCGTCACGAAACCAACAATTCCTGGTGAGTATATTTCCATGATTGAAATTAATAGGTCTAAATTTAAGGAGGTCTCATAAAGAAGTGAGAGAGGGGAGGAGGACTTTTTGATTTGTAGACTTTATGGCAAGATTTTTCTGTGAACAATTACATATATACTCAGAAAGCATTTTTCTCCTTTTGAATAACGTTCATATTGCCACGTACAACTTGTTGCATTCTTGAATTGACAAGCTCTTGGTTGAGGTTAGAATCTGAAGTTTAACAAGTGTTAAGATTGTATTGTTGAATGTGACATTTCTCTGTTGTTGCATTTTTCAGTTACACCAACCACGCCGCGAATCCCAGAAAGTAAGCATTTTCGTTTCATCATATTTTGAAATATTTAAACGATAGTGTGAAACATATGTATTGTGATAATTGGAATCCTTTTAAAAATAATAACGTAATGTGTGTCTTCTTTTCCGTGTTTATCTAGTGTGCAAGATTGGTGTGGACCTCGGTTTTCTGGTCGACGGGTCAGGAAGCATCGAATACCAAGGAAAAGGAAACTTTGGTCGCATGCTTAACTTCATCAAGTCTGTCATAAGCTTCTTCCAGGTATCACGAGGAAAATCCCGAATCGGCTTCGTGTTGTTCTCGTCTCGACCGATTCCAATCTTCGGTCTTAAACGCTATTCGTCGAGGGCAGACGTCCTTCGGGCGATCGACCGCATCCGTTATCCCAGAGGAGGCACGAAGATTGGAAAAGCTTTGGATTTCGCTCGGAATTACCTCTTTCGAGGGCGGAATCCCCGTGGAAGGAAGCGAGTGTTGGTGCTGCTCACTGATGGCATTTCACAGGACCGGGTCGGCCAACCTGCAAGCCGTATGAAAGCTACTGGTGCTGAAGTGTTCGCGATAGGTCTTGGAAAGAAGTATCGACGCAGACAGTTGCTGCAGATGGCAACAGACCAAAACCACGTCTTAACTGTGTCATTCAGCTTACTAATGTCCATCATACTGAAGCTGAAGAATCAAGTGTGTCAGCCAAGGAAAATTTGTGAGTAGATAGTTTGTTTTTACAATTTGTATCTGTTGAAAACAAATGTCTGTCATAAAAGCCTTTCTATCGCAGCCTCTGTAACCGACAGCAAGCTCAAGTAAAGTCGTTTGCAGCAATTCCATCTGACTGGCTGCGA